TGATCATAATCACTTTGTCTTGATAATTTGATGCTGATACTTCCCATGCTAAACATTAGTCACATATTGATACAAATCATGGCAGTCTTTTGCTAAAACAAGTGTATGAAAACGCCACAATATGCAACGGTCCTGGTCAGCGACGGTCCCCGTCAGCCCCGGTTCCAGTGAGGGCAGCTCAGCTGTTAGACACTGTTGATCAGCGAGGTGTATTTCTGCCGCCTCGGGACGGTTAGGCCTATCGTCTTTACTTCCTTTTGCGCATGCGTGTCAGGATAGTGGGACGAAATTTAAAATGGCTGAGGCCGTCGCAGAACAGATTAATTCGCCGAAGATTTCCTGTTGTAGTCGTAATTCTGCTGTTAAAATCAATGAGTGTGTACAAACCAAGATAGACAAGACAATATGTGACTATGAAACACTAAATGAAGATCAGAAAAGCACAACCAAAGCTCGGTTTGATGAGGTAATATGAAATAAGTGTGACCGTAAACAATATTGACACATGAAAACACTGTGCTACATTTTTACTTACTGTCAATAAATCAGTAAACATTCAATCAAACTTTCAATTGATGTACCATTAAATTCTATCTGTGAGGTCGTAGAGCAGCAAAGGTTCCCCAAACCCCTGCCTGGGATATTCTTTCAAAACATTTGTCCCCGGCTCGTAACTCCATTTTGAACACACTTTAGCTGCTTCTGTTCATTGTTCTCAAAGCACAACAGAAATATTTGAAAAAACAAATATCGTCAAGGACACGGCCTTAGTTACAGACATATCTTCACATCCAAAGACACATACAGACACTCATTCTTTCCATTCACAATACAGTGGAACCTCGAGCTCCTACCCAAAACAATAATACAATCAGAAACACTAACAGAATTCAGGACATGCACCACATATATAACGTATTCGAACATATACAAAACCTACAACATAACTAACACTCACTGCTTTTAAACTGTTTTTATCCTTTATAGCAAATAATAAAAAAAAATCCCTGTTCATAACAACGCACTACAGTACAAGACTGACTTCCGTAATCGTGGATATCAACATCTGCATCTTCATCTTCAAACCTTCCTCCGTCAACAGGTTGGGCGCATATGGGTAATAATCCTGCAATTGGGTAACAGTTACCCATTTGCAGTAACAATTTTATTACTGAGATGGGGAATAAAGGGAAATAAAAACACAAAGTTCTTTTAAACACTTAGTAAAAAAGAGTAAAAAAGGGCGTTAGTGTTAGATCTGAGTCAGATCATTTTGTTTGTAATAATGTTGAGATTATAAAAAAAATTATAAAGAAAAGGGAAAGAAAATGAGCAATAATAATGCAATGTCAAGATTATTAAATAATGCTATTTATTTAAAATTAATAACTCTTGCCTTGAGTTTTCTTTCTCAAAGTGGCGTCGTGCATGATAGATGGGTTGCGACGCAGAAATGGTTGGCAGCGCTACGATGGAAGGGTTTTAAAAACAAGCGGCCCATGGGCCTTAACGGTCACCTGAGTCCTACAGTATTAATTTTTGTTGTTGAAATATGAAGTTATGATGTCAATCATCCCTACCAAAATTTGAGTAAAAAATAGTTAAGTATAACTTTAAGTTAAGTTTGTCAGGACAATTGATCATTCCTAGATCGAGTTTCAGTTAATTACGCCTATTAGAACTAGTTTTTAAGTTTTAAATAGTTTTTTTCCAAAATTACAGCCATGGTGGCAGTATAAGATTTTTTATGGACCTGAAAAACCCCATTTTGCCAGGACCATGAGTTGATCAGGCCAAGTAAAACTTGATTTTAAGTTTGAAATAGTTTTTTCAAAATGGTGGCCATATTGTATTTCTGATCAACCCGAAAACACACATTGTCAGGACCATGAGTCGATCATTCCTACCAAGTTTCAGTTAAATTGGACCAGTTGAACTTGACTTTAGTTTGAAATAGTTTTTCAAAATGGCGGCCGTGGTGGCCATATTGGATTTCTGATCGACCCGAAAAAATAACAACACTTGGTCAGGGAGTTGTCGGTAACATTCTCATGAAGTATCAATGAAATCCCTTTGACAGTATTTCAGCTTAAGTTGAAAATGTAAAATGTTAACGGACGAAGACGGATAGCAATATAATAGGTCACTTGAGCTAAAGCTCGGGTGACCAAATAAATACCATAGCGCATGAAAAAAATCCTCGTGATTTATTTTAAAATTTTGTCTGCCGTATCCTTTACCAAAGGGGACAATTTGAAGAAACGGAGGTGTGGTCCCGACGGTGGCAGAGCTGGGTGGGCCCAATAGGGGAAATTAAAGTTAATCTTTAAAATTCTTCACCTTCTGTAAAAATCGAAATCGAGGGAATTTGCCCAAATTTTGTCTATAAGTGTAGAACATCCTTTACAAGGGGAAGTCAATTTTGTATAAACGGAGGGTGTTGCTCCTTTTGGGACAGTGGGGTAGGGTCCATTAGGGAGAACATAGGGATTTTTTTTGAAAACCCTACTTCTTTTGTACGAATGGAGGAATTCATACCAAAGGGTTCTCCCAAGGCCATTTAGCTGATAGGATCAGGTAGAAATTCACTCTGCCATATCACCTTAAACTATTAACTGTATCACCTTGTTATTTGTACTGAGGGGGTCTTTCGCTCAAGAATTTGACACTGATTAAATAACAAGGCTGTGTTAAGTCCAGCAATGACTCCATTGTCAGTTGCACGGTGGCGTGTGCCTCAGGTGTCCGGTAATTGGGAACCTGTGCAGAGGCGTGAAAAAAGAGGGTTATTTACAGTGATCGTTTTTTAGCTCACCTGGCCCGAAGGGCCAAGTGAGCTTATGGCATGGTGCGGCGTCCGTACGTTGTTTGTCCGTCCGTCCGGCATCAACTTTCTACTTGAAACAACTTCTGAATATGGCCAGTAACATGCTGGGATGAAGGGCTACCAAGTTTGTTCAAATGAATGATCTTTGCCCATTTTCAAGGTAACAGGGGTCAAATATGTTAAAAAACTTGAAACAACTTCTTCTGAATAACCAGAAGGCCCAGGATGATGATATTTGGCCAATAACATGCTAAGATGAAGCACTACCAAGTTTGTACTAATGAATATTCAAGGTCACAGGGGGGTCAAATATGTTTAAACTTTTAAACAATTTCTTCTAAATAGCCAAGAGGTCTAGGGCGTTGATATTTGGCCAGCAGCATTATTGGATCAAGGGCTACCAAGTATGTTCAAATGAATGACCTTCACCCATATTCAAGGTCACAGGGGTCATATATGTTGAAATCTTTAAACAACTTCTTCTGAATAATTGCACTGATTGGTGTTATTTCTTTAACATTAAGTACTCTACTTATAAATATATGGAAAGACAAACTCACTTTGAAGGTTGTCTTTTATACACAGCAGTATGAGTTACCTCAAGGTGCATTTACTGTTTCTATGTCTCAATCAAACAGATAAGAAGAGAAAAGAAGAGAATTGACATAGAACTTATGAAGATGGTACAATGGTGGGCGCCAAGATCCCTCTAGTTGTTCAAATGCACCCAACATGAGAGTCATGTTAAATTCATACACTTTTATAAATTTGTAATAATATATGAAAAAGAAAATAAAAACATTTCAGGCACGGCAAATTGTGAATAAATTCATTCACATATGATTCATATTAATAATACCAGTTAAAAATAAAAAAGATTAAAGAAAAGTCAAATGATCTGTAAATTGAAAAATGCCCTTTTCTGCAATTCGGTTCAGGTGTACAGTAACAAATTCTGAGTGTCAAAGGGATTTTTAGGTCACCTGAGACAAAGTCTCAAGTGACCTATATCTATTGCGATCGCCTTTTGTTCGTTGCGTCGTGCGTCCGTAAACAATTTACATTTTCAACTTCTTCTCCAAACCCACTGAACTAATTTCAATGAAATTTTGCAGAAACCTTCCATGGCCAAAGGTCAACCAAAAATAGTTGCAGGTTTGGTCCCCGGCCCCCAGGGGCCTGAGGGGCGGGGCCAAAAAGGGTCTAATTGACTAAAATTTCAAAAATCTTCTTCTAAGACCCAGATATGGTAGAATCAAACACTCTTCATAGATGGAAGGGTCTTAAGGTGCTCTACCAAAATTGTGAATTTCATGACCCTGGGGTCTTACCTGTACCCCTGGGGAGGGGGTAAACTTTACTATAGTTTATATAGGGAAATCACATTTTGGACCAAAATTTGTTTAATTTTCATTGGAAGTAATTCAATTTGGGTTAGCATTATCAGTATTGGATAGCAGTTTGATGGTATGCACATATGAGCCCTGACTGACCCCCCGGGGCTGATTGGTGGGGCCAAAAAGGGTCAAATTGACTGAAATTTCAAAAATCTTCTTCTCAAGACCCAGATATGGTAGAATCAAACACTCTTCATAGATGGAAGGGTCTTAAGGTNATTACATGTTAATAACTTGATTGGAATTATAACCCTGAGTTGACAGTTTGATACTTTGAAAATGTTGAGCCAGCCCTACCCCAAGGGCTGTAGGGTGGGGCCCAAAGGAGTCAGTGTGCTAAAATTTCTTCATTTTCCTTGTTTAGAATCAGAGGTGCTAGTTTCAAATACTTTTTAGTCTTAAATCTGTATGCTAGATATTGAATAAGGTGGTTTTATTGTTTTTTTTCACTGAATAATATTTCTGTTCGTGTTAAAAACAAAATCAACTCTCTGTATAAATATATCAGGTGACCGTTAAGGCCCTTGGGCCTCTTGTTTCTGATACTAGCGCAGTGCCTAGTGGTTTTGAACATTTAACTTGAGCTCCATTACCGTATATTTGCATATTTTGTAATGTTTTATTACTCTTAACCTTATTGTCAAGGAGTTGGTTTGATTACAATCATCATATTGCTGTCACTGTTTGTATAATCTAGAGCATGGATCACCTTGAGTCTGCTCCGTCGTCTGTCTGTTCGTCATTCTGTCCCTCCTTAAACAATTTTTCGTTCGCGCTATTTCTCAAAAAGTACTAGAGGGATATTTCTTAAACTTCACATTAACGTTCCCGAGGGTCCTCTGTTATGCATATCAAAATTTATTGAGTAAAAGTTTGTTAGCACTATTTCTCAGAAATTATCCGATGGATCTTTCTCATAATTCACAGGAAGGCTCCCCATGGTGGCTAGATACAATGTATGCATATTAAATCTTGACACTTAATGTATACAAAATGGCCTACAGTCAGCTGTCATCTTGGATTATGACAGTGAAGGTTTGTTATCGCTATTTGGCTAACTACTGGATGGATCTTTCTCAAGTTTGGTATGTACCTTCCCCTTGGTCTGTAGTTGTGCATGTTTACTTTGAAACTGAACAGATAAGCAAAATGGCTGACAGGTGGCCATTTTGGATTTTGACAGTATATTAATTTTGTTATTGCTATTTCTAAGAAAGTGATGGAGGGATCTTTCTCAGATTTGTTATGTAGGTTCCCCTTGGTAATTTATTGTGCATGTTTACTTTTGTGACTGATGGAATAAACAAAAATTGTTGACAGGTGGCCATCTTGAATTTGACAGTTAAAGTTTGTTATTGCTAATTCTCAGAAAGTACTCCCTCAAATTTAGGTTCCCCTTGCACTAGGAGATACCTTTCTCTTATTCTACTCATTTTGCTCGTAATCATTTCAACTTTTAAATGATATTAGCACATGTTTTAAAAGATTAACACATGTTTTAAAAGATTAAATCATGTATTATAAGATTAGGGGTGGTAAGTGATTATTACGAGTGGTTAAAACTTATTAAGAGTAGTTTTGTGATATTAGGAGAAGTTGTGATTACCTGTTGGCACAGAGCCAAATTTTAGGTAGCAGCAAATGTCGACCGACCGCGGGTACGTTTCACGCTGAGACGGTCGCACGGTCGCGTGGCCCGACTGGTTTTCTTTTATCTGTGCTAGTCGCGAGCCCAACAAAACACTACCATGTTACATGTGAGGCAAAAATCAGTTCTTCGGACCTTGTCACTTATTTTGAATAAACTTGTGAAATCTCACACTGTTGTTGTTGAAAGTACAGTTACGCGTCAGGTGATTTTGGTACTCAGTCGAGAAATTGTAATCCCTGTCGCCCGTAGACATTGGATGGCCGCAGAAGAAACGCCGGCTATATCGGTTACGGTACTACAGAAAAGTAATAACGCCAGCAAATGTTACTTTGTGTAATCCCGGGAAAAAAGACGTCTTGTAGTGGATATTTAAAAATAAACGAGTCCCACAAGATCTATTCTTAATTCACCAGTTGTGCTAAAATAACGTAGCATTGCCTTGTAACGTGATAAAACATTTCGTCTTTGTCCAATGTCGCGGCAAAATTTACGATGTGCATGTGTCGGTCAATCGTACGATTTCCAGACCTGTTTACATCTACGATTTTAGCGTAGTTTCTACGATTATTGAAGTTGAACTACGCTCTACACTTTGGAGAGTAGTTTCTACGCTTTCTACGAAAAAATCCAATATATGCCATTGCCTTTTCGTCATCCTTTGTTGTGTGTTCTGTATCGAATGCAGTCTGTAAATCACATAGTCACTCAGACGCTTATCACAATTTTTATAGGCATTACAAACACCAAAGTGATCCCGTATTCATCTAATGGTTTATAGACGATAATCGCCGAGGGGTTTCAAATGAATATCCCTCTAATGGTTAATGAAGGTTCCCGATGCGTTCCAAATATATATTGGGAAACGACATTTTGACACGAGCAGACAATGCTGAAACGAAAATGCCAAGATGCTCCGCCAAATAATAAGAAGGTGGCGACTCAGCGGTACCGATTATCATACACGGAAAATTGGAAATGCCTGCAGCCCTCCAGGAAGGGTGACACGTTCGTTCATTGCACTGTCTGCCGATCAGACTTCTCGTGTAAGCATGGCGGGAGTTTTGACTGCAAACGACACGTCGATACAAAGATGCACAAGGATTTACATATGTTACACTCTAAAAACGTGTCGATTGCTACTTTCTGTAAGACGAACACTACTGGTGAAGATCAGCGGACTCGGAATGTAACGAGAGCGGAATTGAAAATGTGCGAACTTATCGCAAATCAGAACATGTCCCTAAGTGTTGCAGACACCCTTCCTCGGGTATTCCGTACGATGTTTCCGGATTCGAAGATAGCTGCAGGTACGTGCTAGATATTATATTGTTTTATATAAAATTATTATGTCAAATTAACAGAGGAACAAAAACGGCGAAAATAACTAAAATTGCGAAGTGTGTCGTACTCGTAGTTGTAGCGTAGTTGTGCCTAAATATAGGTCTACATCTGAATCATCACTCAGAAAAACAAAGAGGGATATATGAAGAAGCTACACGTATTTAATACCCATTCAGTAAATTCAATGAATAAAAAGATATCACATTTGTAAAAAAAAAGAAACCAACTTGACCTAACCATTATTCTTGATCAAAGGGAGATAAATCGTTTTAAAAACTCTGGATTAACTCCTACAAATATGTAAGTTTTTTTTAATGATTTATTATATTTTTTTGTAAATAATCAAGTTTTGTTTGTGAATATATATTGTTTATAAGTAAGTTCATTGTTGACATAGTTTTATAATAATTTACATTGAAGTTTATTTTAAAATAAGGTAATGGTCCTAATTGGTGAATTAAAACTGAATTAACATGTTATTAATTACTTATTTGTTGACAGACATGAAATGTGCCCGCAACAAAACAACTGTCTTGATTAAGGAGATTGCTACCTTACAACAAGGATCCCTAGCAGAGAGAATGAAAATGCGGCCATTCACCATATCGACTGATGGATCTAATGATGAAAAAAGCAAGCAGTACCCAATAGTAGTCAGGACATTGGACACAAAAACTGGAACTGTAAATTCGGAACTGTTGTCAATACCAATTTGTAAAGGTTCAGCAACAGGTATGTTCAAAATAAACTATGGATTTAATATGTTTTATGCTTCAGTATATTAATTAGTATAACATAAATTATAATTCAGACTAGTATTGTATTAATTAGTCGAGTCATGACATACCAGCCAACGATTTAAGAAAATTTTACATTTCACAAATTGAAGATTTGAAATTGTGTTTGGAGAATATTCTTGTTTTATGTTTAGACATTTCAAATTATATTGGAAGAGTTTTCTAACTTTTCTTATATTACAATGATTTTATTTGCCATTTTATCAAAATATGAAATGTAATTAAATTTAACGGGTTTTAGGAGAGGCCATATTCAACATGATGGATACCGCTTTACAGGAGAGGGGCATTCCGTGGTCGCAATGTATGGCTCTTGGCTGTGACAACGCAAATGTGATGACTGGGCACAAGAAGGGAGTCTTCGCATTTGTAAAGCAAAAGCAGCCACACATATTTCTGGCTGGATGTACTCTCCATTTAGTCCACATTGCAGCTAAGAAGGCAGCAGCAGCAGCTCTTCCTCCAGTGGATGATATCCTGGTGGATATATATTACTTTTTTCACAAAAGTGACAAACGCCGCTCAGCATTCAAGGGGACACAGGCACTTTACGACTTGGAACAGAAGAAAATGCTGAAGCATGTCTGTACTAGATGGCTCAGTATTGGAAGGTAATTAACAATTGATAGCATATTCTTACTAATAATTAGAGCTTGCTTACTGAACATGTACAAAAAACTACATGTTTTTAAAATAAGATATTTACAAAATGCATTTTTTTAACAAGTCATCGATGTAGCTTTGTTAGAACATGTACAAACATCACATTTTTTGAATATGATATGAATAATTAAACTTTAAACATCAATATTTTTCAATTTATTCTTGATTTTGTAGATGTGTCGATCGGATGCTGCTCAACTGGGATGCACTAAAGGACTTCTTTAAAGAGCAGAAAGATGCAGTGGAGTTAACAAAGTCAAAGAAAGCAGCAGCTGTAGCAGCAAAGAAGTCCAAGATATCAAGCTGTCCAAAGAATTCTACAGAAGAATCATCAGCGCCTGGATATGCAGAACAGAAGATTGAGGCCATCTATTCTTTCGTCAGGTCCCCGACCAATCGTCTGTATGTCCTCTTTCTTCAGTACACTATCCATGTGTATGATGACATTCTATTAAATCTGCAGTCAGATGAACCAAAAATACACATACTACAACGCTCTCTGCAAAAGCTTCTGAGGAATATTCTGACAAGGTTCATCAAGCCCGCAGCTATGCTTAGTATAGCTGTTGACAAGGTACAGTACAAGCAGAACTGTAACATCAAACCAAACACCTCACTTGTGATTGGAGAGGAAGCCAAAAACTTCATTGAGAATGCTGAGGTAAATCACCTCCGCTCACGAAAGGTTGAGGAATTCTACAAAAGTGTAGTCCGATACTTTCATGAAGTTTGTGACTACATTTGCAGCAAGCTGCCATTGAATGATCCTGTCTTGTCAGCTGCACAGGTGGCGGATGTAAACTTACAGACAATTGCAAAGTCATCTGACCTTCGTTTCTTCATTGAAAGATACTCGTGTATCATTCCTCCAGCAACAACAAAAGACAAACTACTTGAGCAATTCACTTTGTATCAATGTACAAATGTCAGCAGCTGTACCAATGAGCAAACCAGGATGGACTCAATCTGGTCCATGATTGGGAAAATGCGGGACGAGGAAGGGAAACTTATGTTCTCAGAACTCTCGGTGGTAATGTGTGGCATCCTAACCATACCACACAGTAGTGCACACTGCAAGAGGGTGTTCTCCTGTGTACGTAAGAACAGAACTGAGCAGCGAGCATGTCTTGGAGATAGTACTCTTGAAAGTCTCCTGGTAATTAAATCTTCAGGCACCCCTCAGGATTACACGGACAAGGAACTGGACCATATCAGGGGGTCGTACTACAGATCTCTGAAATCTTCATAAAATGCTGCTTACAGATTTTACCCAATGTGCTGGGTTGTCAACTTGTGTTACTGGACAGATTTGACCCAAAGTGCTGGGTTGTGTTTGTTTTATAACTTTTATTTTGCAATAAGATTAAAAAAGAAAGACAAAATCATCTGAAATGGTACCAATTATTTATTTGATGTTGTCACTTAAAAAGTTATCAGGATACACCAGAATTCACCTCAGAGCACCTAGGAATTCAATTTTTTCCGGGGGAGACCCCCCGTACCCCCCTTGCAGGAGGGGGCTTAGGCGCCCGCTCCCGCACCCTCCCCTACCTCGCCGCTTCGCGGCTCGGATGCTGGCGATGCCAGCATGTAAAAACTACACTTACCAAATTCAAACTGCACTTTAATTCCTCTTTGACAAACAAATGGGTAAACAGGTCTGGATTTCCCGTTTAAACAATCCAGATTATAATTGAAAAAGACAGGTACGTTAACTTATGCATCATTAAAAGTTTCTCCGTGTGGTATACATTGTATAAAAAGTGATAAAAGTTTACTGATCAATATCAGTTTATAGAAAAATCTAGAGGCGGACTGTCCCTGCATTGTGAAATCACCCAGAATGATTGGTTGATCTGAAACGTCAATCACACCTCAGCACAGTAGCCCTCGTGTCATAATGGGCGGAGCTTACGCAATACAAGAATCATGCGTTTATTTGATGTATCGTCGAGGTGCGGCACACATTTTTCGCGGTTTTAAATGAAAACTTTAAAAAGACGGTTGTATTAAACATTACAATTCTGCATTTTATATAAAGGATCAAGATGTTAACTCCTACCTGTAGCATGGACTTATTCAGTGTGTATCAATCGGAGACATGCCCGTTTTCCTTCTCGAATGGTCATGTATACATTATATATCTACCAGAATTTTATATACATGTACAAGCACCGTATCGGCGTAAGACCAGCTCGGATTCCTACAAGAATATCTAAGTTTTTGTCATATTTCGTCTTTTTAACAAATATGTGTTGTTACTATGTATACTATATTTTGGAAAAAAAATCAATGGCAATAAGTCCATGCCGGCTGCTAGATTTGATCAACAGAATCTGTCGATGTCTTTATAAAATATCAAACTGGCAATGTAACCATTTTCATACGTTTGTATCTTAAAACTATGTATTAACAATACTGAATATCAATTCCAACGAATATAATTTCACACGAAAACGTTTATGAAATGCCACCGACAGATATATAGTCTATAGGCAAACCGCATCTATACGTTGATCTCACGTTCCGACACTACGTATGTCATTCGTATCTTATATTTCAATGCCAGCGTTCCAAACCACAAAACGAAAAGAATTCGGAAACAACTTTGGAAAACTTCACTCATGCTCTACAAAGGTGATAACCAGCATCCGATTTTCATATGTGTATTAATGCTCATTTATTTCATTTTGGCTATTACTACATAAAGTTATTATAATATATAGGATATTTTCTTAGTGAACAAAAAAGTACAGGTAACCAAGAACGAACTTATATGAAAAAAATGAAATTCGTCGCTTCACTAAGATTTCCCGAATCAAAGTTGCTAACTATCAACGAGGAGAGTATGTAGTAAAATCAAAAATGAACTTTAGGCAGAGAATCCAAGCGAACTGTGTAATTTCTCCAACAAAGAAGAGTTCCAAGTTGTTCTACGTTCTATTTTTGCTTTTTGGTCAATGCAATCAGATGTATTTGAAATGTTCTTTTTCTCAAAAAATAACGAGAATTAACCAAAACTTGTATCTCTTTTCATGTGACCACTTTTTAAATAAAGAAAGTAGCGAAAACGATCTCTGGGATATTTTATTAATTCTTTTAGATCTTTATATAGACATCGTAGAACTCTGATCATTTTCCTCGTTAATGTCAAATGAAAAAAGAATGACTTATCAGATAAAATAAAAGTGGGGGTGCGAGACCAAGTTGGGGGTTCGCATCCCCGATGAAAGTTTTTAAATTCAAGAAGGTCTATTTTGTGGCAATTTGACGATTAGTTTTAGGCAGACGTTATTTGTCTTTGATTTTGATTATGGAAAAAAAGTATTTATTGCGATTTTGTTTCTAAATTTTACGTTTCTGATGCAATAAAGGTTTGATGTACACGTATTTATTACATATTTTTTACTCATCAAAATTATATGTACTCATTTGCATATAGAGAGCTAAGCGCCTGCAAGATGAAAATAATAAAAAGAAACCTACGACATGAGATTCCAGCAAGATTTGTTCTTCGACTTCTTGCGTAATTGTCAGTATCAAGGTCACAGTTCACTTCATCAAATGATCTGGTAGTCTTGTCCAATGTATGAGTCACTAACGTTCTGATTTACTAGCCAAAAAATATACCCTGGGCTTGGACTCTGCTTATTGTCAGAATTATAAAATGTTCAAGATTAATCTATAATTTTCCAAAACAGTTTTCTGTTTATACATAAGAGATGAGTATGCTTAATACATTAAAACATGAGTTGAATGGTAAAGCTAACCATGCTTTGATAACTTGAAACACCTGTTAGCTGGCAGCTAGCTTCCTGCTATGGGTCAAGGGTCGCCGCCGGTAACTGTAGTGTTGCAGTCGCTGTTTACCCTCTGTTAGAATATGGACTAACCAAATCTGTCACATTTTGGACGAAATAATTTATTTTTAGGGTTGGAAGCATATCTCAATACCAACAGGACGGATGGATTCAGTACGCTGTTTGGAGAAAAGACATTTTGTGTCGTAAACTGACTTACCCCATTGTTCTCACAGACCAACCTCGGACAAGACAATGTAGCCATAATTGGATAATTGCCGATATCGTGCTGTGTCGCGAAAACAGTTCCAATACGTCACCTTGCCATTGGGTACTAGGATTTCACGGCTGACTGAACAGCGATGCATAACGTTTACATGTAGCGATTGTCTGCAGTAATTTAAATTAAAGCCCCCTCATAGGCATGTTTGCCAACAGCAGACTCAAATTGGTAATCATGTTTTACTTTCGCTATTGGTGCCAGTGCACGAGGCGACCGCCGTGATATATTTTTTAATGAAACTTTTAAGGCCGTTTCAGATATTTATACACATGGATTATGAACACAAAGTTCCCCCCCTTCCCACCCCCAGCCCCGTTGGCACCTGTCACCTGTGATTTGTGCTGAATGAATATGCGGCGCAGTCAATTATATACCAATTAAGGCCGGTTTGCGAACTTGATTGGATATTGGATTCCATTGATCGAAAAGGGGCTAGGGGAAGTTAAGTGTATTCATGTTCTGCGACCGATGCCGGATTATTTGAACGAGGCAGATTTTTCAGCTGGTGTCTGACCTTTATACAGCAAGGAGAAACAGTTGAAACACCTTTAGCGGACAGTTTCATGGATAATTAAGGGATAATTTAAAAAAAGAAAGTGATAACGTCAGTTTGACACAGTTGGAAACTTTTAATTCCGACGCAGTCTTTATCAGCATTTCATAGAACTGATACCCAAGTGTCGAGAAAATTCAGAACGGTTTGGACCTGCTTTGACGTCCGACGATATCGTCAAAAAACACATGGAGAGGATCCAATACTAAACGATGTGTTTCAATAAAAACAGCCTTGGATTTCTGGCTATGAAGATTTGTTATCGAAATTAAAAGGAAGGATGGAACTCCGTACCCTCTTAACACTTTAGTTCAAATTGGATCTAGACTGCAGAGACCGAGACGATTTAAATCGCCCGGAAATAAATATGTTTCAACGCAGCAACACGTGCGTTAGATAACTTAAGGAAATCACTGAATTCCCGCATGAAAGAACTCACCTTATTTGGAATTGGTGTACATGTTAAAACCAATGACCCTGTGTTGCCTGGTGAGGAGAATACATTCAGGGAATCGAGTGTTTAGTTTCAATTTACAATTCAATTTATTACCAAATGCACATTGCATATAGGCATACAGAAATATACATCAAGATAAATACTTTACAAATATCTTGTACAATGGCGGAGAACATATGCAATAGATTCAATTCCAGAGTGTTTAGTTTCAATACGGCTGAAGGATTATCAAATACAGTGTGTTTAGAGACATGGAGGAACACAAGGACTTGGAAGCGGAACAGAAAAAAGTGAAACTGATCGCGAAACCGGACAAGAATATTTTATGAATTCCAGTGAACAGTGAAGGAGGACTGAACCACCGGAACATAGCACCAAAAAAAGGTAAAACATTTTGCTCGACCAGAAAATCCCAGATGTTTGGTCAAATTATATTCAGTGTACCTGTCCATTATTCCCGGAAAAGGAAACTTTTACAAGAAACCCACGGATAAATTTAAATATTTTCGATTCTGTGCTGCAAATGAAACAGCCCAGACGAGGAAAACGTGTATGAATAACCATTCATAATATTCCGTGACAGCGTTGGTTTGTTGATCGTGGTAAAGGACGATAAAAAGGTGAAATTTGACATTTGAATGTTCATATTTGTGAAATAAAATGTCTTTGAAAAATGATCGAATTTGTGTATTTTTATCGTCATGATTAAGATTTGTTTTTGTCATGTTATTTCAAACGAAAGATAACAGGACTGTCACCTCCCCGTCTGTGATTGACTGGCGTTTACACCTGCCAATCAGTCGAGTAGAGTTCCATCCACATGTTTTCGTATGAAGATATTTTTCCTCGAGATAAAGACCAATCTTCGTCATGAAGATCACTTTCTTTCTGACGTTTATTCGACGTTTTTTTCTATACCGATATAAAAAAAAGTCGATAAAACCTCAGAATAATTCGGACAAGACTAGCACAGGTAAATGCTAACCAGTCGGGCCACGCGACCGTCGCAGCGTGAAACGTACTCGCGGGCGGTCGACATTTGCTGCTACCTAAAATTTGGCTCTGTGCCAACAGGTAATCACAACTTCTCCTAATATCACAAAACTACTCTTAATAAGTTTTAACCACTCGTAATAATCACTTACCACCCCTAATATTATAACACATGTGTTAATCTTATAACACATGATTTAATCTTATAACACATGTGTTAATCTTTTAAAACATGTGCTAATATCATTTAAAAGTTGTAATGATTACGAGCAAAATGAGTAGAATAAGATAAAGGTATCTCCTAGTGATTGGTCCCTAGTTGTGCATGTTTTATTTTGAGAGTGATCATAGATAAAAGATTGTTGCAGGAAGAACTTCACAGATCTTTCTCATATTGCAATGATTGCTTCTATTTCTTTCACATTAAAGGGGCTGGTCGGGGAAAAAAATGTTATATTTGCTAAAATGGCATACACATGTTTATAATTAAAATACTGTACCTTCTTATGAAATATACCGATTCAAATTTTGCTGAAATTCACTCCCTAAGAGTAAAAATTATAATTATATTAAAGAAATCCTAAATCGTCACCTGACAGTCTAAAACTCTCAATTGACCCAGATCAGTGATGTAATTTTACTGCATGCGCGTCATCAACAAAATGTAAACATCGCGGCGAAAGAAAAAGATGCATGCAAAAGTCATGACAGGCACGAGGTATCGTCAATGAATGGATACAGAGTCCACTACAAAATGCAGAAAAAAGCAATGGGCGTTGGACATCTAGCAGCCTAGTAGGTGGACACGAACACATTGCTGCATTGGACGGCGATTTACAGTGATTTCCACGTTTATTGACATTATCATCAATACCGTTATATATAACAACAACATATAGGTAGGAATACTGCACTTGTATCATACATGACCTTTGAAAACAATAATTTACGTATAGTATTGCTGTCTTGTCCGCTAGTTGAGTCCGACATGGCTGATAAACGACGTGCTATTGTTGATATCTTCACTGCCTCACTTTCGAAACAACCACATGACATATATATAAATAGATCTGCGCTAAATTTACGCGGGGCTTCCCCCCGATTTCAGTGGTCAAAACTGGAAATTGCAAGCATAACTGGACCATCATATTGTCGTTGTATAACTTTTGGAAGGCCAGAGAACGCATTTAGACCCATTTATTTTGTAATTTTTTCCCCGACCAGCCCCTTTAAGTACTGTACTAGTACCTATGTGAAACTACAAACTCAAATTAAAGGTTGTCTTTTTTATACAGCAGAATGGAATTTAGATCAAATGTGTATAAATGGAAGGTAAAGACCAAATCAGTCCTATCAGTGAAAAGCAAGCCAATCAAATAATTAACTATTTCTGGTTGATTTTTATACGCCGTCAAATTCGACAGGAATATTATGGTATGGGGGTTGCGCCTTCCGTCCGTCCTGCGTAAAATTTTGTTTGTCCGGCAATCTCCTCCTACATTTTTTAGTGAATCTCTTTTAAACTTTGTATACATCATAATCATGATATGAAGTTGTGTCTCCCTTAAAAGAATTTTGATTCAACTATTTTTGCAAAAGTTATTGCCCTTTGTTCATTTCAGTATTTGATTTTTGTGTCGCCTGCGAAAAGCTGGTGACACATATGTATTGCTTTGTCGCCATCGTCGTCCGAACAGAGGTTTTTGTGCGATAACTTGAGTTTCCTTGGGCCGATCAAACTCAAACTTCATGCAGTGCTTCCTTACCAAAAGTGCTTACTTGGGATTGCTTTTCAGGTCCGAATGTCAAAGGTCAAGGTCACTGTTACTATAAATAGAAAATCTGTTTTTGTGCGATAACTTGAGTTTCCTTGGGCCGATCAAACTCAAACTTCATGCAGTGCTTCCTTACTAAAACTGCTTGCTTGGGATTGCTTTTCAGGTCCTTAGGTCAAAGGTCAAGGTCACTGTTACTATAAATAGAAACTTCACTAAAACTGTTTACTGGAAGACTTCGATCTACCACTTGACCCATCGTGTATACCTCTGACATGCCGTCTTACTCCAAATGTTATTGACAACACTAGCTGTTTAACATCATAATCTTCAAGTTTATTTATTTATGGGAAACCATCCGACAAATCATACAAATTGGAATTGAGACAATGAGTATCCATAGCAAGTTCCTTAAAACTCTTCCCAGAATAACAGATTATATAACAAAATGATGCCATCCAAAAACATAATCTATGATTATTGCTTACTTTTAACATTATTTCTTGAAATGAAAAGTGTATCTATTTCTTCGTAATCTCCCAGCTTCCTGCGCAGGCGACACATCCACTTCCGTGGAATTCTTGTTTGTCCGGAGATTTTCTCCTACATTTCTTATAGCATGTCAGCTAACCACTCTTAGAATGATGCCAATCTAATTTCAATGTAAGAAAGTATATAATACTATATGACCTTCGACGGGCGTATATTGTTTCGCCCCGCGGTACTCTTGTTAAATTATTTTAAATGGCTGGAAGTCCGAAGGACGATGTTTAATTCACTATTCCTAGCTGAAATCAAAATTATCAACTAGTCGCAGAATAGAGAACAAGTAAAGGTAGATCCTGACCAGGAATGTGAGATGAGATGAAATATTTTTAATCCACCATCATCTGATGGTAGGCTAGCTAATACACATGTACAATCAAATCACCCTTCATCCCTCTTCGGTCCTTAAAGAATTCTTGTTATCGCTATTTCTCAAAAAAATGCTCTAGGGATCTTTCTTAAATTTGATATGAAGGTTCCCCATGGACCATAGTTGTGCATGTTAACTTTTGAGACTGGTCAGATTAATTAAATGGCCGACGGGCAGCCATCTTGGATTTTAAAAGTGAATGTTTGTTATCACTATTTCTCAGGAAGTACTTGGAGGATCTTTCTCAAATTGCATATGTAGGTTCCTGTTAGTCTCTTATTTAACAGGTTTAATTTTGAGATTGTTTGGATAAACGAAATAGTTGATAGGGGCTATCTTGGATATTTTACAGTGAATGTTCGTTTTCGCTATTTCTCGGGAAATACTGGAAAGATCTTTCTCAAATTTGTTCCGTAGGTTTTTCTTGGTCCTTAATTGTGTATGTTTACTTTTGAGATTTGATAAAATTAACAAAATTGTAACCTCAAGGTGCATTTACTGATAAGAGAAAAGAAGAGTAAAGATCAAGCTGACATAGAACTAATGAAGATGGCACAATTCTTGTTTAATTTTCTGCATAATATGGAAAGTGATTCACTACAAGGGTGATAAAGAAAAGTTACTACAAAGAGATCATTAATGCATAATACCTGTTGATTGTATATCAAATAAATTTGTTTTGTCAGGTATTTCAGTCAGCCTTCACGTTGAATCTTGAGATTGGGGGACAGAGCTGGACTAACAATGGAAATGCTGGGGATTGTACCTCAGGTAAATTAGCAACATTACATTGATGAATTATTTGTACTATAGCCGGCAGTAGAAGTAGACAATATTCTACTTTCACAATCGCATATTATTAGAGTTACTTCCCCTGAAATCTTACGAGAACGAGGCTCAGCCTGCTGATAGTCACACTTCCGAGTCCCGCTTTGATTCCTGGAGCACGTGGTACAACACAACAGTACACAACAGTATACAGAGATCATAGAGAAGATTGGTTTTGGATTCCTGCATATTCCATTTCGGGTAACACTCGTACGCATACACTAAATTGACTTATATTAGTGGCCAGGCACTTTGTCAAATTATTGGCGATAATTTCAACATTCCAGTAGAAGCTACCGCCAGTACCGCCAGTACCGGCGTCCTGAGGCCTAGGGGAACCAATCAAAGGTACGTTCGCCATTTAAGACAAATTTTGAAAAAATAATGTTGGCATTTTATCTTGTATTGATAAGTCATGCTATAATTGTTGTACATGTACTTGTACATGTGGGCAGTGTGATGGATATACAGTAGTGTGGTGATAAACACCATTTCACTCACAGGAGTTCCTTACAAAAGTCTGAAATACATATGCTGTATATATATGTACTGATATTAATCACAGCACACATATCGGTACAGCATATGTGTATTTCAGACATTTGCAACGAACCCTTGTGATCTAATGTAATTGTAAACAGTATAGTACTGTGAGTAGCATGCTGAGTAAGTTATCAATCAGACATGGTGAACTGAATCAGGGTAATTATAATTACGCAAACAGTCGACACATTCATTAACAATGTACATATTGCTGGCACTAAAACATGGAATAGATTTAGTTTGGAATTTTTGTAAATGTGAAAACAAGTGTGAATGTCTGCATGAATTGAATAATGCCTGTCTAAAATATCAGTTACTGGAATCTATCAAAGTTGGTTTACTACAATGATAGGTGAAGTTCATTTTAAGTCCGGTGTTTTTAATTTTTTTAGTATCATCAACATTATGAACAGGAACATGGTTTCCAAAGGCAGGGAATGCTGTGTTGCTTCATGTCACAATCAGGAATAGCAGATGAATGGCATAAAGTTGTATTTTCATTTTTTTTCACATTTCGAAGGTAGTGCTCAATAGTAGAAAACTTAAGGATGAATGGGTAACCTGGTCAAATGAGAGATGGAAAAGTTAACAGTTACTTGCATGTTTTGCCATAAGATATGGATAGGTGTTTTAAATAAATCTGTGAGCTGACCATGGTCCAATTGTACTTAATTTATATATCATAGCCGATCATGTTCCATAGCAACCAAATAAATTCCCTAGCAACAATAACAGTCGGCTGTAAGTCAGAAAAGAAAACAGGAAATCCATATTCCTTTTATGATATACCAATAGGTGATTTATTCAGTATTTGGTATCTTCATTATTTTCTGAATAAATTACTAAAATGTATCTTATTGACATCCACAGCAGCAGTAGTTCTTAAATAATGTCCAATTCCACAAAACAAACATTACTAGACTAATTGATCATGAACTTAAATCAAATTCATTTATTTGGCAATAAAAGTTAACATCTATGGTGGCCATTGTATGACTTCTGTCTGACAAATGTATTTATATATATTTGATAAATAAATGTAATTATTTAAGTTAGTGTTTGCCTTTTATAGACTTGAGGATTTGATAGAATGTAAACGGTAGTAAATGGACAAGGGACTGTTGTTATGGAAATGGCTTTTGAAAGGGTTACATACATCATTTCATGGGTACAGTGTAATAAAACTACTGGCACTGTGTTGTTGGTCGACAGCGTAGTGTTGTACATGTTTACTTCTCATTGAAAGGCCCGGATTTATATCACAGGCTTTCCCAAAAGATAAAATTGACCACACTAAATGGGGCCCGCACTAAATGTTTGCTTCAGGTTATGTCATTATCAACTGCGTTCACTTTCGCTAGGAGATATATATATATATACATGTTCAGTATCGACTTTCAGGTTGTCACCTAACTAAATAGCCCCTTTTATATACATTGCAATCATTAAATGGGTATAAATGTAATAACCACTTAATAATTTAAACACTTAAACATCTAAAGATCCAATAATTATATTAGCCATCTTCTATGAAAAATGCATTTAATGATAACCCCCACAAATGAAATTAAATATGAACTTCTCAGTGGTTCTTGTTAGTTACATACTGTACATGCCATAGTGTACACAATTATTGTATGAATTGCTAAAAAAGTCAATTTGAACACTGCATCATACCAAGATATCACTGTCATTCCTTTTTGCAAGAGTCATCACTCGCATCTATTTCAATTGGTTGAGCAATATTTGCAGCATCAAGCATTAAGTTTGACCAGTCCTTACTGCGTGCAAATGCAGAAAATTGCAAGATTTGTTTGCTGTGAAAAATTTCTGCTAAAACATTTCTTAACTCGAAAGTTGCCCCTCTCCCCCCTCCCCTCCATCTCCGATCTTCAAACAGTATATGCATTGATTATTGGCCATGGCCTTTTACCTTTACTCCTTGCGACAGACAACCTCATCCCACCCCTTTCTGCCACACCGCCTTCAATCTCAGATAATTTTTTGGCCTTTTTGAACTTATGCACAAATCCTCATAAAAGGTATATCTTTGAAAATGAAATGTGGGAAACGCCGGTGAAATACATCATGTGGTTTTGAAATTTTAACAGCCCTTTCCTCCCCCAGATTGCTTTTTTTACATTACATTGCAAATGAAAGATTTTTTCAATTTACTTTTATTGTATTTCTTGTTGTTGGGGTTGGGGCAGAGAAGGGTGCATTCAGTATGCCAAATTCGTCCGTTAATAAGGCTGTATTTATTTATTTTTTATATCAACACCCAAGCATTGTCTTCAATTTATTACACACTTTTTTTTTAGCATCAATGACTAAGTAATCTTTCAATTATTCATCAATGTTAAAACCACAATCAATTCATTCATCAACGCTGGAACCACATTGAAACTTTGTCTACACAATCATTTAGCTTATTCCTTAAAAAGAAATGGATGCATTTGATTATATATATACAATGCCATGTGAAATAAGTTCCTGCATATAGTTATCAGATCTCTTACGGTTTTTCAAACGACAAATGTACTTTAAAATTCAATATATAGTATTTCAAAACAATGATGAACAATTAACACTTAATCTGTATTACATTTGCAATATTTTGAATGTAGATCTTTGTCTGGCATAGAATGATAGAGCTATATATAGAAAACCAAAGATTGGCAATAGCAGACCCAATTAATATAAGTCCCTGTTATCAGAGGCAGGATAAACAATTTCCGCAAGATGTATAAATAGTGTCTCATAATTTGAATGTATACACCAATGATAAAGCTCCATGTATATATGAAATAGAAATCTAGATACCCAACAACACGAAAAGGGTCATTTTGGTTCAATTCTCTACTGGGATCTAAGAGACTAGTTAGTATTACCCGGGAGTTCTATTTTTAGAATAGGCGGATTTGACAAAGCACCAAACGACGGCCTCTAAACTATCATCAGCTTGAATAACTTTTGATTTTTTTTTTTTATTGTGAAGTAATTTGTCAATATGCATTAATCAGAGTGATTGGGAAACGAAGCACAGTAAAATCCTTTCTCAAATTAGTTATAGACAAGTCCGTCGCCGCGGCCACGCAATTTTTACAACCGTGCTGTTGGCAAAACTTCGCTACCGCCAGGTAAAAGTCTGGGATTGATGTTTAATCAACATATGGGAACATGAACAATGAAACTGATTTACATTGAATTAATTTCATTGAAAATGATTGTGAAATATCACCGTTTTCGGTTTATTTACCATTAAATATAGCCATGTCCAGGAAACCGTCTATATTGGGTCAGTAAAGTCTGCTCCGAAATGCTCTCCAAGTTTTATTTAATCAAATTTCCATTGGAGTTTTTTTAACAAGTTTGAGAATTACAGTAACACAAAATGCAATCACAGAAATACTCAAACAAATCTCTTGCAACCATACATTTTATTCGCATGAACCACAGCGGGACATGTATTCACGAAACATAATGCTGTTACGCCCATTTTCTACTTTCGTTTTCTAAAACGTAAAAAAAAAAATTTCGATGCCATCGCAAGCGTGTATTAACTTCAAATTTGGCACAACATTAAATCATTAGATTTTGTTTCTATTTGCAAAATATAAAATTGGTACATGTCTGCGGAGGTACTTAAATCCGTGTATAAATCAAAGAAAACGTAACATTTTGCCATTTTTCCCAAAGGCGTGCCGTTTCCCGCCAAATTTATGACGTCATCACGCTCATATTTTTTGGGGAAAATATCGATTTTGAAATTTTATTTCCTATTCTAGTTTATAAAATGAAATTTCTAATAAAATATGATACTTCAAAAATTCTATATTTTCTGGGCCAATTTTGGTCCTTAGCTGTGCAGGGCAATTTTTGAGACTGATCGGATAAACAACATGGCTGACAGCTGGCAGCCATCTTGGATTTTGATAGTGAAAGTTTGTTATCGCTATTTTTGGGAAGTACCAGAGGGATCTTTCTCAAATTTTATATGTAGGTTCCCCTTGTTCCCTTGTTGTGCAGCAGTGCCTGAAATGGACGGTTGCTTGCTCGCCAATGGTGGTTAAAGCCTTGCTCGAGTTACTAAAAGTTGTCAAAAGTGAGGTAGTCACTGGCCCAACAAAAATAGTTTGAGCTACTTGCTGAAAAATTAATGAATAAAAGAAATTACAGTCCCTTCCACATTAACTGGGGGTGGGGGGGCAGTACATTTCCAGTTGTCATTACTTCGATTTGAATCGAACTGTCCGTGATTTAGAAAATGTGATGATTTTTTTCTGATTTTCTATATAAAAATAAAAACTGCCAGGGTTTCTTCTTTGAGGTGAGAGTTTGTGTATTTCTTTTTGGGAAGACCTGAATGGAGTGGATCATGGCAGGTTTTAACTAGGGTT